GCGATTGTAGTATCCAGACAATATGAGCACATGCTCACTAGTTGAGCGATTCTCCTCCATCTTTTAGCTATAGAACTTGTTGGATACTTCATATCTCTCAACTCGGGTATTTGCTTGAAATATTAACTTCAACTCCTGGAACATCTCATATGGTCCATGACGTTCAAAATGTCTTTGAAGTCCCGATTCTAAGCCATTAAGCATGGTGCACTAAACTATCAAGTAGTCATCATATTGAGCTAGCCAAACGTTCATAACGTCTGCATCTGCTCCTGCAATAGGTCTGTCACCTAGCGGTGCATCAAGGACATAATTCTTCTGTGCAGCAATGAGGATAAACCTCAGATAACGGATCCAATCCGCATCATTGCTACTAATATCTTTCAAGACAATTTTCTCTAGGAACATATCAAAATAAACATTTGAAAGCAACAACGCGTACAACATAATTTGCAAAATACTACCAGGACTAAGTTCATAATAAATTCAAGTTCAATTAATCATATTACTTAAGAACTCCCACTTAGATAGACATCCCTCTAATCCTCTAAGTGATCACGTGATCCAAATCAACTAAACCATGTCCGATCATCACGTGAGATGGAGCAGTTTCATTGGTGAACATCACTATGTTGATCATATCTACTATATGATTCACGCTCGACCTTTCGGTCTCCGTGTTCCGAGGCCATATCTGTATATGCTTGGCTCGTCAAGTATAACCTAAGTATTCCGCGTGTGCAACTGTTTTGCACCCGTTGTATTTGAACGTAGAGCCTATCACACCCGATCATCACGTGGTGTCTCAGCACGAAGAACTTTCGCAACGGTGCATACTCAGGGAGAACACTTCTTGATAATTAGTGAGAGATCATCTTAAAATGCTACCGTCAAACAAAGCAAGATAAGATGCATAAAAGATAAACATCACATGCAATCAATATAAGTGATATGATATGGCTGCCATCATCTTGTGCTTGTGATCTCCATCTTCGAAGCATCGTCATGATCACCATCGTCACCGGCGCGACACCTTGATCACCATCGTAGCATCGTTGTCGTCTCGCCAATCTTATGCTTCCACGACTATCGCTACCGCTTAGTGATAAATTAAAGCATTACAGCGCGATTGCATTGCATACAATAAAGCGACAACCATATGGCTCCTGCCAGTTGCCGATAACTTGGTTACAAAACATGATCATCTCATACAATAAAATTTAGCATCATGTCTTGACCATACCACATCACAATATGCCCTGCAAAAACAAGTTAGACGTCCTCTACTTTGTTGTTGCAAGTTTTACGTGGCTGCTACGGGCTTAAGTAAGAACCAATCTTACCTACGCATCAAAACCACAACGATAGTTTGTCAAGTTGGTGCTGTTTTAACCTTCGCAAGGACCGGGCGTAGCCACACTCGGTTCAACTAAAGTTGGAGAAACTGACACCCGCTAGCCACCTTTGTGCAAAGCACGTCGGGAGAACCGGTCTCGCGTAAGCGTACGCGTAATGTCGGTCTGGACCGCTTCGTCCAACAATACCGCCGAACCAAAGTATGACATGCTGGTAAGCAGTATGACTTATATCGCTCACAACTCACTTGTGTTCTACTCGTGCATATAACATCAACACATAAAACCTAGGCTCTGATACCACTGTTGGGGAACGTAGTAATTTCAAAAATTTCCTACGCACACGCAAGATCATGGTGATGCATAGCAACGAGAGGGGAGAGTGTGATCTACGTACCCTTGTAGACCGACAGCGGAAGCGTTAGCACAACGCGGTTGATGTAGTCGTACGTCTTCACGGCCCGACCGATCAAGCACCGAAACTACGGCACCTCCGAGTTTTAGCACACGTTCAGCTCGATGACGATCCCCGGACTCCGATCCAGCAAAGTGTCGGGGAAGAGTTTCGTCAGCACGACGGCGTGGTGACGATCTTGATGTTCTACCATCGCAGGGCTTCGCCTAAGCACCGCTACAATATTAACGAGGATTATGGTGGAAGGGGGCACCGCACACGGCTAAGAAAACAATCACGTGGATCAACTTGTGTGTCTATGGGGTGCCACCTGCCCCCGTATATAAAGGAGTGTAGGAGGGGAGGGCCGGCCCTCTCTATGGCGCGCCCTAGGGGAGTCCTACTCCTACCGGGAGTAGGATTCCCCCTTTCCTAGTCCAACTAGGAGTCCTTCCATGTAGTAAGAGTAGGAGACAAGGAAGGGGAAGAGGGAAGAGAAGGAAGGAGGGGGCGCAGCCCCTCCCCCTAGTCCAATTCGGACTAGGCCTTGGGGGGCGCGCGGCCTGCCTCTCCCTCTCCCTTAAAGCCTAATAAGGCCCATATACTTCTTCTCCCGTATTCCCGTAACTCCTCGGTACTCCGAAAAATACCCGAACCACTCGGAACCTTTCTGATGTCCGAATATAGTCGTCCAATATATCGATCTTTACGTCTCAACCATTTCGAGACTCCTCGTCATGTCCCCGATCTCATCCGGGACTCCAAACTCCTTCGGTACATCAAAACTCATAAACTCATAATATAACTGTCATCGAAACCTTAAGCGTGCGGACCCTACGGGTTAGAGAATAATGTAGACATGACCGAGACACGTCTCCGATCAATAACCAATAGCGAAACATGGATGCTCATATTGGCTCCTACATATTCTACGAAGATCTTTATCGGTCAGACCGCATAACAACATACGTTGTTCCCTTTGTCATCGGTATGTTACTTGCCCGAGATTCGATCGTCGGTATCTCAATAACTAGTTCAATCTCGTTACCGGCAAGTCTCTTTACTCGTTTCGTAATACATCATCTCGCAACTAACTCATTAGTTGCAATGCTTGCAATGCTTAGGTGATGTGCATTACCGAGAGGGCCCAGAGATACCTCTCCGACAATCGGACTGACAAATCCTAATCTCGAAATACGCCAACCCAACATGTACCTTTGGAGACACCTATAGAGCTCCTTTATAATCACCCAGTTACGTTGTGACGTTTGGTAGCACACAAAGTGTTCCTCCGGTAAACGGGAGTTGCATAATCTCATAGTCATAGGAACATGTATAAGTCATGAAGAAAGCAATAGCAACATACTAAACGATCGAGTGCTAAGCTAACGGAATGGGTCAAGTCAATCACATCATTCTCCTAATGATGTGATCCCGTTAATCAAATAACAACTCTTTGTCTATGGTTAGGAAACATAACCATCTTTGATTAACGAGCTAGTCAAGTAGAGGCATACTAGTGACCCTCTGTTTGTCTATGTATTCACACATGTATTATGTTTCCGGTTAATACAATTCTAGCATGAATAATAAACATTTATCATGAAATAAGGAAATAAATAATAACTTTATTATTGCCTCTAGGGCATATTTCCTTCAGTTGGGTCTAGTTCGGCGCCCTATGTGTTGCCGAACTCCGAGGGTGAGGCCCCCGCCGAGGTTGTGTCTCTGATGTTGTAGGTCATGCCCGAGCTGCAGATGTTGTGTGGCGAACCTATTTCGCCTTTATCGATGAGCAGCTCAAGTTGGACTCTTTCCAGGCTTCGGAGGTGGACCTGGTGTCCTCACCACCCCATGCGGAGCCTTGTCGGACGTCAAACATCCCACCTCTTTGTGTCATGGAGCGTGGAGTTTTAGATGCTGCCGCCATTCCCTCATCTTTGACCATCGGGCACGTGATGTCTGTGAGTGGAATGACCACTGAGCCACTTGTGTTGGCACCTACTCCAAATTCAAATGCTCTCTTCGCGAAGGAATTTTATGACTTTCTAGCCAACATGAAGGTTGCTAGACCTGGTTTGGGTAGGTCAATTGATTGCCTCCTGATGGGGACACCATTAAAGGGCAAACAAAAGAAGGTGGGTAAAGGCAGGAGTGTCGCCAAAGACAAGACGTCTCTGGCTGCTTGATTGGGTTGTCATTGTGGATTGGGAGGTGCCTTAGGATTTGTGGATATTGTGTATTCGAAGAGTGTGATGGGCTGCCTGTGTGGTTGCGGGGCTTCATGTCGTGTGAGTAGTTCATCTGTGCTCCGTTTGTATTAGTTTTCATCCGGTTTTTCGTTAATTAATTGGACAACTATTTTCTTCTTAATTAGTTAACAAAACAGAACTTTTGCCTCCGTTAAAAAAGCACACATGCTTATCTATTTGTATTCACATATTTTGTAATTACAAATTTATCTTTTTGCCAACAATATGACAAAAGTCATTTGTCATGAAATTTTTTCTTTAACACAGTACAGATGCAAGTACTCATATATGCGCGCATACATGCACCCGTATAAACGCACACACGCACACCCTATCTCTATGAGCACCTCCAAAAGACTGAACCGACATGTCATCTTGAGATTTTACGAAGTCACCGTAGGCGCCTCGTAGTCGACGGGAACGTCTCCTTCCACCGAACGCGTATCGTCGAAAATCCTGAAATAAATTTAGAATAAATGCGAGCACCAGGATTTGAACATTGGTGGGGTGAGGATACCACAATCCAACCACATTTTATCATAATATACTTTACATTGTATTAATAACACACTAAAAATGTTTTTTGCAAAAAAATTTGAAATACATTTGACTTCATTTTACTATTTTAATTTATTTGTGTTTGCTAAATCGGGCACATGTGCACCCAGTTCTAAAAATCCACGCCGACAGCTCCCTTATCCTCTTCCTTCTTCCGTTGGCGACGGGCGGCCTCTCCGCCAAACATCCTCCCGCCCAAGCGCATCACCTGCAGAGAGCTTCTTCCTCCCCTAGTCGCGGCTGCCCTCCTCCGCGACCGTGGCACCGATCGATTCTTCATTCTTCCAGCTCCAGGTGACGAATTGATCATAGCTTTGCTTGGATTATTAAGGATGATCTGTTCTGTTGTGGCCGTTCGTTCCGTTCTAATCCGAATCTCCCCTTGTTACCCGAACCATGCAGTTGTTTCTGCGGATTCGTTCGAAGCGCGAGGCAGCGAGCATGGAGGGGCTGACGGAGAGCGAGGTCGCCGGCTTCGCGGTGGGCGCCTTTCTGCTCGGCGCCAGCATCGCCGCGCAGAGGGTCGACGGCTTCGTCGCCGCTTCGCAGAGAAGGTCCCTGCTCCTCCTTGCCCGCTTCTTGCTTCCTTGCTTCTTTGCCCGCTTCATTGTCATATTTACGTCCTGCAGATAGAACATCAACAGCATTGCAGCTGAGAAAAAGTCGAACTACTATGCATTGTTTCGTTAGTATACAAACTACATATAACTTGGCAATGAACTATACATCATCACTTAATCTGTTCTTCCAAGCAGTTCCAAAAAATTACTGACACCTCAGAATATCTGGTAGGAGTAGATAGCCGGAAAATAATTGAAGGCATATGGCACTGTATTTCCTTCAGATCTCAGATAGATGAATCCCCTTTCGACGACAATAGGCTACTGTATCTGTCCTTCTCTCTTTTTGTATGCTGTGCTTTAGAATTATTTGTTTGCTTTCACAACACAACACTTTAGAGCATCTCCAACAGGGGCGCCAAAAGACGCGCGCGCGGTGAACTGTCACTTTAGCGTGCGCGGGGCGTTTTTGCGCGCTCCAACGATGGCGAGAAAGTAGCACGCAGGAAAAGGGGGCAGCTCGCGCTTTAGATTTGGCGCACCGCTTTCGGCGCGCCTATAAATTGCGGCGCTCGTCATGCGGCCCCCACACTGCCACGCGTGCTCTCCCCACTCCCTCTGCCGCTTCTCTGCCGCTTGCTTGCCGCTTGCTCGCCCTGCCACCACCGCGCCGCCGGGGATCGTCTGGCTACCACGGCATCCGCGAGCGCCCCGACGACACCTACTACACCGAGATCGGGTCCGGCGACGTCCGGCTGGGCCTCGACACGTTCGGGACCGCGCACGAGGCCGCTCGCGCGTACGACGTGGCGGCGTGGCGCCTAGAGAGGCCTACATCGTAGATGAACTTTCGCGACGTCTACAAGCGCGAGCAGGCGCAGGCCATCGCCCCTCCGCCTCGTCTTATCACGGACCAGGACCGTGCGGAGCAGCGTCGGCGGCAGCGCCGCCTCCTCATCGTCGAGGAGGACGAGCGAGCCATGGCGGAGTGGCGCTGGCGCCACCCGAAGGACGTCGCCAACGAGCGCGCATACTGGTCGGAAAGGACGGCAAGGCGCCGTGTGGAGCGGGCGGACAGGCGTCGGCAAAAAGCATTGGCGATATCGTTGAAGCAGGTGGGGAGTCGATCTTTGGGGATAATGATCTTCGTTGGAAGGACATTTGGCTCGATACCTCGGACAACACCAGCGAGGATGATGCTAATGATGAGGACGACTCGGAATAGGTTGTAGTTGCACCATAGTTTATCTAGTTGCACCGTAGTATGTAGTTGCACTGTAGTTTTTATGTAGTTGCACCGTAGTTTTATCTATCTATGCTATGAATGAACTGTGTAAAATATCTATGTATCGTTTTATCTATGAGATGAACTATGTATCGTTTGTATCTAAAAAATATGTATGCAACCTAGTCTAGAGTGTTCGTGCGAGCGCGCGCTAAATTTTAGCGCGGCTCCTGGAGCGAACACTGCCCGCCGCGCCAAATCAGGCGATGGGCGCGCTGCAAAGTATTTTTTAGCGCGCCGCCCGTTGGGCGGCTGTTGGAGATGCTCCATGATATGCTTTAAACTTAAGTAAAGTGAAAACTCCCTGGACCCACGGATTAAACTTAAATAAAGAAACTTGCCAACAATTTCTTATCAGAAAATTCATAGTGCAATGAAATTATGAAACCCAAGTAGTATCCTTACTTCACTTAAAAAAATTGCTACTGCATTGCAGCTCTTTAAACATGTGCAAGCGCTGTGGTGATCTTCGGATGGTGGCATGTTCACAATGCAAAGGAGTAGGCTCTGTTAGGAAAGGCGGAACCTTCACATTCGGCGTGCTTGAGGACATCTATGAATCTCTTGGAGCTGAAACCAAGGCAGCTGATTTGGTCCCTTGCTCAAAGTGCCGTTCTAAAGGCCGCCTCCCGTGTGCAGAGTGCGCCAAGGTCAGATGACCATTTGGTAGCGTTTTTGTGATTATTGATCAGAGTATGACCATTTAATAGAGTTTTGTGATTGTTGATATCAGAATAAGATGCCCCATTTTGTAAACGCTGATATGTACGGACTGATCGAACTATGGATGAGTGCTTTTATAATCACTCCGGAAATTCGTAGGGGCACGCACCTGCTGAGCCATGTCCAGTTTTAAGTTTGTAGTTTTCTTGCTCATTTTTACCAAGTTTCATAAATAAAATTTTAAGATATTTTTTGTTGGTCGTAGGCACAAAAATCATGATTTGTCAGTCATTCGTATCAATTTTGAAGAGTTGAAATTGACATTTATTTTCAAAATTGATCAAAAGTATTCAAAATGGATCATATTTGAAAGCCCTCATCATGAGAAACACAAATATAAAAATAGAACTTAATTTAAACTTTCTATTCAAAAGATATAAACGTTTAAAAAATTGAAAGCCAGAAGAAAAAACATGTGTGAGGGACTCAGTGCCCACACCACACTTGTGTCCTAAATCCGCTTCCTAATCACTCGGCCGGAACAACGGTAAATGTCCCTAATCCGCACTGGGACGGAGGGAGTAATGACTAAAAGTATTTGATGGACTAGCTGGACAAAAGAAAATTGGATAGAAAATCTCACAAAAATCAAAAACATTCGACAACCGTTTATGTGGATAGTATGACCAAAGTTAGATCCGAACCGCTAGACGCACTCTCCACTTCTTTTTCTAGTCCTTTTCCGTCTTTGGGCAAAGTGAACTCTTTTCTGACCACTATCTTTCTTAGTCCCTTTCCGTCTTTGGGCAAAGCAAACTCTTTTTCGACCAACTGGCCTACAGATGATTTTGACGAACGTCACACACACACAGAGGACACCGTCAACCAGATAGTAGCCCATGTTATAGTCATGCCCGTTGACAATATAATTGCACGGAGGATCCTATCCTTCAGTTAACCTCGCAAACAATAGGAACCGTAACATCACATTGATGTCGTTAAGAGCCTCGGGCATTGCCAAAGAAAACGTGTCAAATCGAGAGATCCTGTGATGCAACTGCTTCAAGAATGACGGTGGGCTTCTTAACATGGCCATGATATTACCCTTGTAGAGCATATGGATAGTTCTTCAATCTCCAGTACATGCAATCAAGAGATCCGAGCATACATGTCCATCCACTTGCTTCCAAGAGTGCCATGAGCCTTCCAGTGTCTAAGACACTTGGTTCTCTCAAGTATTGATGTCCAAATACCTCGACCACCGCAGTAGCAAATCTGACCATCACGTATGCGCATGTGCTCTCGGACGCCCGGAGGTATTTGTCCCAGGAATCTGCAGTTATTCCATATGCAAGCATCCGTAATAAAATAGTGCACTTCTGGTAACCAGAGAATCCAATTCTTCCTACGACATCCTTCTTTAAGATGAAGTAGCCATCGTAGTCCCCGACGCCATTGTAAGGGCGATCAAACACATTTTTCCGCATCCAAAAGCACCGACGAAAATGGTTTGCGAATTGGGCATCAAGGGCAGAGTAGTCTCCCACCAGCGTCAAATGTTGTTGTGCCCTATTCCGACCACCACTCCGAAGTAAATATGCGCTAGAGGCAATAATAAAGTTGTTATTTATATTTCTTTATATCATGATAAATGTTTATTATTCATGCTAGAATTGTATTAACCGGAAACTTAGTACATGTGTGAATACATTGTTGGAGAACGCAGTAATTTCAAAAAAATTCCTACGCACACGCAAGATCCATCTAGGTGATGCATAGCAACGAGAGGGAAGAGTGTTGTCCATGTACCCTCGTAGACCGTAAGCGAAAGCGTTATGACAACGCGGTTGATGTAGTCGAATGTCTTCACGATCCAACTGATCCTAGTACCAAAAGTACGACACCTCCGCGATCTGCACACGTTCAGCTAGGTGACGTCCCATGAACTCTAGATCGAGCTGAGTGTCGAGGGAGAGTTTCGCCAGCACGACGACATGATGACGGTGATAATGAATCTACCGGCGCAGGGCTTCGCCTAAGCACTGCAAGGATATGACCGAGGTGGATTATGGTGGAGGGGGCACCGCACACGGCTAAACAATGTCAACTTGTGTGTTCTAGGGTGCCCCCTTGCCCCCGTATATAAAGGAGCTAGGGGGAGGCTGGCCGGCCCTTGTGGCGCCCAAGGAGAGGAGGAATCCTCCTCCTAGTAGGAGTAGGATTCATCCTTTCCTAGTCCTACTAGGAGGGGAAAGGAAGGAGTGGGAGAGAGGACGGAAAAGGGGGGCGCCGCCCCCTCCTAGTCCAATTCGGACTCAAGGGGGAGGGGGCGCGCGGCCTGCCCTGGCCGCCCCCTCTCTC